TTCTGACAATACAATATTGCACTTTTAATTATAAATAAAAATATACATAACAAACAGAATATTAAAATAATAATGAAAATTTGTTTATATTCTTAATTATATATACAGTTAATTATAATAATACATGTCATATTGATCAGAACTTGCATTTCTAATCGAACGATGATAATTATGAGAGAGATGCTTATTGACAGGATGCTTGTACGTTAATTATTTCCTAATGATTCATGGAGCAATTATCTATTCTAATTGCAGGTAAGCGCATCTCGATATCCCGTCGTGGTGAAACTGGGCCACGCCCACGGCGGAACCGGCAAGGCCCGTGCGGAAACAAATCAGGAATTTCTAGATCTCGCTTCATTGGCAGCTATGGCGAATACTTACTGCACGGCGGAACCCTATGTCGACACCAAATACGACGTGCACGTACAGAAAATAGGGAACAATTACAAAGCTTTCATGTAAGTCTTTGATGTACACGGTAAAAGACTTTAATATCAAAAAGTAAACAAATTAAACAAAACGAATTTGGAAAAAGTTGAATAACTGAAGAAAATTCTCCAAATTATATACTTGAAAAAGTTTAAAAGAGACCAGTACGTTTGTCCAAACTTTGGAGTCAAAGTTTCTATAAAAATTAATAAGGACAAAAAACTTCGTCACATTATTTTGTACATACATTAAATAATGAAAATTATTAAAATAATTATATATACAAATATAAAACTTCTAGACATATATGTGTATATATATATATATATATATATATATATATATATATATATATTTTTATAGGCGGAAAAGTATAAGCGGAAACTGGAAATCGAACACCGGATCTGCTATGCTGGAGCAGCTTTCTGTGAGCGAGCGACATCGTACATGGATTGACCATGTGGCACAATTATTCGGAGGATTGGATATCTGTGCGATTGAATTGCTGGTGGGCAAAGATGGTCGGGAGCACATTATTGAGGTCAATGATAGTGCTCTATCGTTAATGGGTGATTCTCAGGAAGAAGATCGACGTCACATAGCAGATTTAGTCACGGCAAAGATGCAGGTACATGAATTATTGTAGATCGATGAATTATTGCGTGGTTGCAATCAATTCGTCAATTAAAAAATATGATCTACAGGTTTACTGTCGACCTCCGAGCGTACTGACAAAGACGGCCTCGCGAGGCTCGATGTCGGGTTCTAGTCAGGTGAGTAGTCCTGTAGAAGATCGAACTGCACCTCCAACTGCACCCTTGGGATCTCATGGAAGTATGGGTTCCATGGCCAGTATAGGGAGCTTAGGTTCCTTAGGTTCCACCGCACCAATAACAGGTGATGTCACCGTATCGGATAGTCATCATCAGTTGCAACGGCGTGACTCTCAAGGTATCTACTATATATATTTTTTTAATCCCTCGGACGTAATACGAAAACAATATATGAATAATAAAATTTGATACAAATACATAGTAAATATAGAAATAGTTAATTGATGATTATAATTATAATTAATTCATATTACAATAAAATTAAACTAATTTAAAACACAGCACTTATTTATAAATTTATACACTTATATTTTTTCCTTCTTTTTTAAAAGATAAAGATAAATTCTAAAGAAAAATTACAAAAAATATATATATTTCAATACATAGTTTGCATATTCTTCATTTCAAAATCATATTAGAATAGAACAAAGAATATTGAATATTATTATTATCTAGCTGCTCTTTGAAAGCGAAAATATTGCGGATTAAAATACTCATTATATGAGTAAATTAGAGAATATTTGATTTGTTTTTATATCTCTCACATAAATATTAATTTTATTCCCGGTTCTTTTATATTTCAAAGCGCTTTTGTTCAACATAACATTTTTCGCTTTCAATTTTCGCAGCTTCTCAATCAAGCACAGTGAGCAGTGCGCCGTCCGTCGGCCGACGCACCGAAGAACCACCAATATCCAGAGTGCCGTTCCATCGACAAGGTAGTCAGTCGCAGGCCCAGGGTGAAGATACCGAGGACACTATGAAGAATCTGCGAAAGACCTTTGCAGGAATTTTTGGCGACATGTAGACCACAAGATATGGCCGACGTAGCGAGAGCGTAGACGTCGGGAGCTCTCGCGGAGAGGTAGCTAATGATAATAAGTCGGCAACAATAACACGAACTCACGAAATTCTCCGGCGATCCCTAAGCATGTTCCACGACTGAAGCGCATCCCGACGCGCCGATTCGTGCGGAAGTTGATGCGAAGCATGCAGATATCTATATATTTGCAGATTGTCGTAACTCGAAACTCGCGAAACTGCATGCCGCGCGAAATGCACTCATCATTTAAATTTAATTGAAAGTTATTAGAGAATGAAAACTTTTTACCGTTCGCCTTCCAATTAAAGCACTGAAAATACAAACACTAAGTCGCACGGTCTAAGGCGCTAAAACAAAATACTTAAATACTTGGTTCGAGTTTCTTCAGAACTTGGATCTGGACTTAGTCTTGCATCTTTAGTGTTTTAATCACGAACATAAATCAAGCGATTGCAGGCTTTAGTAAAAAAGGTGAAAAATAAAGATTTTCCCTTTTAAATAATAAATTAACACGCTGTAGGAGTAGGTTATATATATCGAGGAAATCATGATTATCATCATGATTGTGCGAATGTATACATTGGAGAATAAAAAGTAGGTTCTATGTAATCCGTATACACTGACGAATTAAATAAGAGCTAGGCAAGTTCAGTCAAAGAAAATGATAACTCATTTACTATCAGCTTGATGTCAGTTGAATTGCTACTGCGATATCCAGTGAAACATTTGCGTCAATCGCACATAACGCGCTCTCTCACTATGAAAACAGGAATCGCTCCGTAGGCCCCTGGCATCTCCTCAACCGGTTTTACTTCGAGCACCCACTTTTAGGCTTAACGTTCGGATCGTCGTGTGTCATATTGTCATTAAGGAAAAGGCATTGCGAGATAGAAATTAAGGCAGGCAATGGGCGTCTTTTGGGCGATCTCGCAGTGTTTGTAAAAATATTCGTACGCCTATGTCATTCGAGATAATCGAAGACGATAAAAAAAGAGGAGATTCGGGCATTATTCTGAACATTTGGCTAACCGAGACTGCAAGCGGTCGTTTGGTTTCATCGAGGACTACAAGTCGAAAATATGTGTAATTATCCCTATTATTAAGCGCACAAGTAGTTATTAAGATAACCAGGGATGGGCGAAGTTTTTCGATATCGCGAAATTGAATTTTTCAAATCTAAATCCAAATCCGCGAGTTCTCTGTCCGACAATAATGAACAAATCGAAAAATCAATTCGCGGCACGCTAATAAATTCATAATGAGAATATCTCATGTAGATCCTCCAATTGATGATGAAAATTTATCGCGCATCCCGAAAATGGCGACATTTTTTTCTCTTAAATTTTCGCATGTCATCTGATCGTTAAAAAGCGATCACATCGACGATAGAAAATTCATGAAAATTTAGTCGCTAGAATTTTAGCATTAAGAAATCATATACACGATGGATATTGGCGCGATGAAACAACAAACTGTCGAGTTTGTCGAGTTAAACGAAAATCTGGCATGCAATCGTATAACGCGGAACAATATAGTCCCAATACATAGATCTGCAAATATATACATATACGCATATATATGTGCAAACAGGCGGAATGTAGTACCGATAAAGTATATCAGTTAAACGTAGCTAAAACTACGCGGAGCACAGTGCGAAGAAAAGGCAAGTTTCATCAGATGATCGATCAGATTTAATTTAATAAAATAAGACTAAAGAAGGGATCACAGGAGATAATCGACCGTGGTTTCAGCTCTGAAGAAAGGAAGAATCGATATTATTGCGATAGTTATTGCGAATATAAACTCTGCTGATGAAAGCAGTTGCCAAATGTGATAAAACATTCAAGAAATATTAATTAATATATAATCAGATGAGAGAGATAGAAATAAAAATGAGGACGTAAACTTAAACGATAGATAAGAAGATCGAAAAGTATCAATTTATTTGAAAATACCTTATTTGAAGCGCTGATAATATAAATTGATCAAATTACATATTTGCTCCAAATAAAGTAAATTTAAAATTATAATATTTAATTATAATAATAAATAATATTTAATTAAATAATATTTAAATTGTAATACATAATATCACAATATAAAAGGATAATTATGTGCAACTAATATAAAATAATGATGACTATAGAAAATTTGTTTTCTTAATGTACATGGTCTATTTGAAATTAAAAAGTAAAATAAGATTTCTAAGATTTCTAAACAACTTTTGTGCATTTCCTTGACTAAGAATTAGAATTTTACAAAATTGAATTTTATCTATTTGTATCTTCAACGCTTCATATAAAAACTCTAATTAACAAAAATCTGATATTATACGATTCTGTCATATCTCTTTCGCGGTTTTCCAACTGCATTAAAAATAAGTAACTGACGGTTTGATTTTCATGTGCCTTGACACTGAAGTGTCCTTCGTATCACGTTTTTCGCGATATCAAGAGATGGTTGAAAAATGTAGCGGATAAAAATAATTTTCGGAAAACGTAAGTTACGACGACGCTGGTAAATTTTTGCAACGAGTTGGATGAAGTAGACATATATGGCATTTTGAGCAGATATTGCACTTTATCGCATGATCTATGTACTTTTGGTCGTTTGTACTTTTTATAAACCTCATTACATTTGTACATTTGCTGAAACATTTGCTGTTTCTTCACTGATATTCACCGTGACGGTGAAGCGTGCACCGTCCAAATTTACATTTGTTACAACATGTGTGCAGTATCGAGATAAAAGAATACGTTATATAAAAGTAAGTTCTTGTATATATCATGATTTCCGGGATAATCGCGATCCTAACAATTTTCAATTCCGCAATACGTGATGATAGATTGTCTTCCGTGCGTTGCGAACTGAATACTTTCAGCAGCGGATCTCGTGCAAGTAAAAGAGCTGTCTTAGCCCCTCAATCATACAATCTTCTTTTAAATATGACATAGTTAAATTTTTGTAAACGTAATTGCATTCGTGAAAACATTTAAATGCAATTCGTACATTAGAGATCTCCTTTTTCTCCTTATCATTTTTCTGAAAAATTATTTTAAATCTAGCGAGTTTCGTGATTAAGAAGGAGGTTTGTGCAATTAAGGATCAAATAAGAACGCAAAGACTGCATGAAAGATTTAACAGTTTGAAACAGATCTCCGATTCCATTTTCAGAGCTGACGCTACGGTACGGAGAAGAGCAATCAAACAATCATAATCATGTCACTGCGTGGAGATCAATTGATCAGCGCTAAATGTGTAGACGCGGTTACAGGTTGAAGAATATCTCAGGGGTGCGAGTCTGTAGACACTAGACAAAGTAGAGAACTAGAAGCGGCAATTGCGTGATCACGCAATGCAGCCTAGTCAAATCACTGGCGTCGATTGTAATCGACAGAACGGATAAAGTTAGGATGTTCAGAGAAATCCTTGTAACACTGTGATCCTCGAGATTGTCTGTAGGAAGGAAAATTTTGCGCAAGTATCTTGTTCGACTGATCGCTTTTCTTAGTAAATTTTTGTATATGTAATGCATAAGTTTCTCTTTTTTCAATATTTTAAATATTTTGATACTTTTTTAATTTTTTAAAGTCTAATTTCGCAATTTTTTGGAGAAATTTTAGAATCTTAAATCTCAGAATCTTAAATATTATGCAACAATATTTAAATATCTGCTATTAAGTTTTGTGTAAAGTTTAGACAAAGTTACAATTGTGTAAATTTGTACAAGTGTGATAAATTTTCATGAAAGTGAAAATATATTATTTGATTCTATAGCATTTGCTATATAATACTGATAGCTCAATTATTAAAAGTATTTTAACAATGTAATCATATTGAATTAATTTAATGAACATTTTCTTACTTGTAACATATCATTTAATATTTTGCTTAAAATATAAACACAAAGCTGAAAGCTCAGTTTGCAACTGTTGCAAAACGATCGCTCGAACAATTGCACGTTGATCTTGACTTAAGCAGCGACACAGAATTGGGCATTTCGTTGCATCTCGTTAGATTATAACTTATCAAAGTGTTATATAGTGATTTATTTAGTTATGGTGACCGTGTGATGTCGTGAGCAGCAGCCACTATTTTTCATTTTTCTTTCGAATGCACCGATTGCACCGTAGTTCGACTAATAATGCACCAGCAATATCCGTAGATTAGCACGATAACAATATCGCACCTTCAATTCTCTAGAATACTTCGTGTTATTATGTACATGACTACGCCACAAATAAAAGTCGAGTAATAAAAAGTGGATTCTCTTGCCGCAAAACACGCGAAATTGATTTTATCGACTCATTAATCACAACATCATAGGTGCGTATATACACAGCACGCATATAATATTCCATATAAAATCACCTTGAAGAGAATTCATCGTAATTTTATTTCTAATCATCTCTGCCACCTTTCAGCCGAGATATATCTTCGTGTTTTCGATATTATTTCTCCTGAATCACAAATCTTAAAAATATTGTGATTATGTCAGAACCAGTTAGATAACGCGAGATCCCTCAATCTCAACAGAGATTTACAAAAATGCAGTTACGAAGTAATTCGTATCGTAAGACGATGATAGGCCGTGTAACGCTAAGCGAAGATGTCATCAATACAGTAATAAATTAGTGATTTCCATAATCGATCGTTGTAGACACAACGGCACGCGATTGTGGACGATTCAGCATCGGAAATCGTCCGCCACTGTAAACTCGTGTTCGTCCTCTCCTTCGTCCAAGAGAGAACACGAGCTTACTGAAGAATCATAAGCCTCCCCATACTCTCGACGATCTTTCGATTATAGCGAGAGAATCGTGCAATAAAAAAAGTTATGGATTCGCATGTTTCACGCCTTTATATTATATAAGGCTTATATATGTATATATATATATATATATACATATATATATATATGTATATATATATATATAATATATATATATATATATATATA